ACTTTTAAGAGTATATCTAACACCTACTGATACTTACCTGGTTTTTAGTTTCCCCAGATTCTATATCTTTGTGCTACTTCTAAAAAACATACAAAATAGCTTTTCAGTGGCATGTAAATTGTCCTTGGTTATTCTGGGCATAATTTAAATGCCAAAGAAAAAGTGCAAATGTAAAAAAAGAAAAAAAAAACCCCAAAAAACACCCACTGAACACTCAAATTTCTATTGAAATCAATGAAATGTCCATGCATGTTGCGTACTATGTTTGATGTTACACTTTTGATAGGGTTTTGTGTAGGAAGAGTACTGCAAGCTAAGCACAATACTGCTATTATTCTCACTCCTTCAGGCTTGATATTGCGTCAACAGAATAATAATGCTCAAATTACTAAAAATCCAACTGAAATAATTGACAGTGAATACCATTTTTTTAAAAAGAAAATCTTATCTATCTGTCAAACTGTGGTCCAAAGTGAATATAGTTTGCAATAGTGCTGTTATTTATTAAGATAATAAAAACCAAACCTCTGAATGTAGCTAGTTTCTTCCATCAGTTAACATTATAAAGAGAAACATATGCACATGCGGGTTGGTGATACAGGAAACCAAAAGCAAATACTAATGCAAACCCATAACACTTTAAAGTGCTTTTAAATAAATAACTAAAATTTTTCCTAAACATTTCTGCAACTATATATGCATTTTTGTTTAATTTGTTTTTAATGTATGAAATGTGTAACAAGGCACTGTCTTATAACTGAGGCCGTCACTTTTTAACTACAGAAAAACAGTACAGCTATTCTTCTTTTGCAAAGAACTGAGAAAGACAACAGGGCAGGCTGTTTTTGACTGTATGGATTTCTAGATGAAATCTCTGAGTTTACCTTGTGAATCATATGCAGATGCTTGCGCATCTAATAGTGTTAATATTGTACAACTTTTAAAGGAACCCCTGTTACCTGTGTTGAGAATCATGGCTCTAAATACATCACAGAGGTGTCACATGACTGCCTGTTGGAATTTATGTACAGACAAAAGTAGAGACTCTCCATAGTGGAAAAAAAAGGCAACCTGGGAATGGTGGTGAGCTTATCCCAAAGAACCATAAGTAATGTGTAGGAAGGAGGGGGCATGTGCCCCCCCCAAGAGTGCTGGTGCCCCCCCTGACAGCATGCACTCCAGCTGGTAGGGGGACATGGAAAGTGCTAGCACCCCCCTGGCTCCGTCACTGCCGTGTCACTGGGCCCAGCCCCCTTCCCCCCCTTCGTTGTGTCCCGCTGGTGTCCCCCCAGACTCAGGAGGCACCAATCAGCCATGCAAAGAACACTAGGGCAGGTAGTGGGAAAACACAAACCCCATGCAGTGCAATGAAAAGGGCTGAGAAGCAAAGTAGGAAGTAGCCCCCAGAGCTCTCAGGGTTGGATGGGAGGGGATACAAACTCTGAGGTCAGAGTTGAGAGCATTCTAAACTGAGTTTTGCTTTGGAGTGAATGCTAGAGAAGACTCAAAAAACAAAACACATATTCGTTCTTGAAATCCAACATCTGCTTGGAATCTGCTTCTTTGTACCCCATTGTACTAAGGAAGTGAGCTATGACCAGCAGCGTCTTAAATCACTTGAATCCATACTGCAAATTGAACACTTCCTACTGAATAGTGGCTTCTGTAATCCTCTCTCTAGCAAAAAGAGATCAGAGAAAGTCTAGAATTTCATTAGTAGATTCTGCCCACCTGACAGCTCCTATGAAACTGGACTAATCAGAAATCCTAGAACAATTTTCAGGGGAGAATTAGCAATGTATTTATAAAAAAAAAAAAGAAAAAAAAAATCTTCGTTGTGTAGATTAATCCAGACAGATGCAATAAGATACTGTAACAACAACTTCAGATTTAAAAAAAGAAAAGTATCTCAAGATTCAGTCTTTATTGTAGCCTGATCCAGCCTCCATTCCTTAATTTTCTTTTTACATACAGAGATGGAACTTGGCTTAAGCTCAAAAGGAAAATCCACCAATAAGGGCCTTTCCACAGGAATCTGGGAACCACTATACTTAAACAAAGCCAGCTGCTAACTTCAAGTTAGCAGCAGCACCATGACATACAAAGTTAACTAGATGCCTTTGGTTTTACTTTGGGATTATTTCTGGACGGCTTTGATTCAGTTGTCAACATTTTTCTTTTTCAGAATTGCCCTCATCATTAATGTCACTTAGAAACTGTGCTGAACAGTATAAATTTTAAAAGATTTAATAAAGACCACAAGAAGTTTCTTTAGTTCCCAGAGAACATATTATCCACTGGATGAATGGAAGATTTTTTTTCCAACAAATGTGATTTTTAAATTTTGAACAAGAGAAGTCCATATCTTTTTTAAATTAACATGGTTTCTGGTTTGAGATTTAAAAATCAGTAAGTGTGGTGACTGGCAACTTACACACATTACTGTCAAAACACAAAAATAAAGAAGTTGGAGTCTTATCTGAGCAAGGAAAAGGTGTACCTGTTCTGACAAGATTAAAAATGTCAAAATACTTAATGATGCAATTGACATATTTTCTTTGATGCCCAAATCACAAAGCATGAATTGGTTTCAATGAGCAACTGAAGTCCTAAAAGATCAAAAAATTCAGATTCAGAAAAATGTGGATTTTCTCCTTCAAAGGAGGGGGAAAAAAAAGGAAACTATAGGCCACAGGCAGCCAGGCAGCAGTGGAAAGCACCTCCCACAGCTCCCTCCAGGTAAGTCTATGGAGGTGGGGTGAGGGGGAGGGCACAGGAGACATGCCCCCAGGTTTCTGGAGTGATGGGGAGGGCACATGCCCTCCCCCAGGTTTCTGCATCTACAGTGGGGTGTGGGGCTGTAGCCAGGCCAGAGCAGCTCCGTGCAGGAGCTTCATTTGCAACCCAGCAGGCAGGACCTGGTGCAGGAGGAAGTGCTGCACCACCACAGCTGCCAAGGTGAGGTGCCCCTGCCCGCATGGCAGTGGTGGGGGGCACAACTCCATGCCGCCACCACTGCCACATCTCACCTTGATGGTCACGGTGGTGCGGTGCTCTCTCCTGTACCAGGTCCCAGAGCTGGTCCAGCCTGGCTGCAGCCCCATACCCCACTATGGGCACAGAAGTCTGGGGGGCACAACCCCCTCCCCCTATCACCTGTGTCTCTCCAACCGACCAATGCATCACCTATGCCCCTTCCCCACCTGCTCTCTCTCATATGCTGGGGGGCTGGGGCCTGCTGGCAGCAGGTCAGAAGTGAGGGGCACTAGCATGGCTGGGGGGTTGCGGGCTGGGAGTGAGGAGCACCAGCAGAGCCAGGGAGCTGCAGGTCACAAGTGAGGGACACCCACAGGGCTGGAGGGGCTATGGGTTGGGAGTGGG